TGATTTATCACATATAAAATGTCCTGTCATCAGGCAGATATTGTCTCCTGGAAGAGTAATGACTTTAGTAAAGTTAAATAATCATGATAATTTCGAAAAATCGGAATTATTAGAAGCGGATGTTGTTGCTAAAATAGTATCAGCATATTTTGATGCAAATAACGATAAGTCAAGTCAAACATCATTGTTTATTGTTACACCACAACATAGTCAACGACTTACTATCCAATCTAGAGTTAAAGAATATTTATCTAATAATTTAAAAATAGACACCGTAGATAAAATGCAAGGACAAGAAGCAGACCTTGTTATTGCGTGTTTCGGATTTCATGATAACAATGAAATCGCTCGAAAGCCCAATTTTTTATTCGATCCAAATCGTTGGAATGTGGCTATTAGTCGAGCAAGGTATGTATATATATTTATTAACGATTGGTGTTAGTGGTGCGACCAAAACCCATTCATTAGTTTGAGATGAAGTAGAAATTCAAATAATATTACGATATTTCTCAGAATGCTGTTTTTCAAGCACATTCTATATTTAGCTTAGGTTATGGCTATTCATCCCAAAATTTTGCATGTAAAAAATCGAGTTAGGATTCGTTCAATATAGGTTATAGGTTAAAACTAGGGTAGGAAACATAAGGTATTACCCTGACAGATTCCGGAAAGGACTTAATACCGACAAAGTTAGCCGGCATTAGTTATAATGCTGGTTAATTTAGTCGGTATTATGTCCTTTCGGGATTTTGTGGTAGAACAAAAGCATAAAAATTTTGGACAGGTCCTTGTGCATGCTTCTTTTTTTTTCTGATTTAAAAGTATGCCCTATATGCATGCTTACAAAAAAATTTTTATTACAATTTTATATATGGTATTCTTCTCGAAAAAGAGCGTACTTGTCCAGAAGCATACACCTTTGTCACCTATCCTAGTTAGAACTTATGGTGCCGGGAGCTTATACTCACAATGTTTCAATTTTCTTGTGATCGTGGTTGGCCAATAAAATTCATGTATTTGATATACTGCGCCAAAATATAGTATTTTTTTAAACCGTCAAAACTTTTTACAGACAAATTTTTTTTTAAAAAAAACCGATCGATAACTTTATACACAGGGCTGAGCTCTACAAAGTTAACGTCAATTTTTTAAAAAAATCCATCTATGGAAAGTTATAACGATTCAAAATACAGTATATCCAAATTTCAAATCGGTATAACTCTTTATAGAATTTTTTTTTAAAAAAACTGACCGTTAAATTTGTAGAGCTCATCCTGTGTGTAAAGTTATCGATCAGTTTTTTTAAAAAAAATTTTCTATAAAAAGTTTTAGCATTTTAAAAAATACTATTTTTTGCCGCAATATGTCGAAATACATTGATTTTATTGGCCAGTCACAATCACGAGAGAATTGAAACATTCCGAGTATAAACTTTCGG